ACTTTTTCCACTGCAGTGTGAGCCACATTTCGTGTGAGTATAAGTGTAAGTGTGTGTGTGTGTCGCCTGGAACTACAAAAGACCGCATTGTGTGTGATTTATACACCTTAAGCTTCGATGAACGCTATTACACAAACAGCCAGCAGAGTTAGAGCCGAGGTGTCCCGGCCGCCCTTTTTTTTCGTCTTTTATTTGGCAAGTTGGCGCATAGCCACCAGACAAAGCGGCAGACGCCGACGTTTGGCGGCAATGAAGCCATAGCCATGAAATGGAAATGCATTCAAGTGTGTTTAAGCCGGTGCAGCCTCCCTTCACCGATCTCTGGCTCTCTGGCTATCTCTCTCCCTATTTCTTTTGGGCCAACTCCCACTTCTTTTTGGCCACGGCCAAATACGTATGCGACTACAGATAAGACGTGCTCGATAAAGTCCACAGAAAAAATGAACTCATTTTACGCCTGCATCTTTGTGACTGTCTGGCTCCCCTTACCTACATCTCTGATTTTGGGCACTGAGAGAAATTGATACATTTGAGAAAATATAATAAATATAGATGTAAGTCCTGACTATGGTCTTTTATTGAGCATAAATATATTTTGGGAACTAATTTAAAGAAGCTTAGAAAAAAGTCTTAGTATTTCAGGAACTTTGTAAAAGGTTAATAAGGAATTCAACAAGTAATATATAGTAGATAAGATTTTAACATAAATCTCTGTTATGAAAACTTCTTGCTACTTAAAATATCAAATACATCCAAAACACTCTTTTTATTCATACCTTGCTTTCCTTAAACTCAAATCAAATGGTTACATCAATCTTGTAAACAACTTTAGCAATAAATAATCATTATCTACAAATAATAGCCAAGGTGAGTTGCTCCAGTGATTGATTTGCTGTGTGAAGAACGTTATCTGGACTTTCTGCCAGTGTGGTTGTGTGTAGCCAGTTGACGTTAACAAGCACAAGCGTACGACGGAATTGAAAAAAACTGTAGGAAGGAGTTTATCAAGTCAATTGAGACCTGCGACAAAAGACCAAGCACGGGGCAACATCGGCAGCAGAGGCAGCAGCAGCAACATCATCAGCCAGGAAAGCGACTGCCTTTGGTTGCAATGTCTGAATCATCAGCGTTTGGCAGCATTGTCGTGTGCATGTCGTCGGTATCTTTATCAGAAGGCCCGCAGCAGCAGCAGCTTCCCAGCTTTCCCAGTTTTCCCAGCTTCTCCAGCGACAATAGCATTATACGAACGGCGGGGTGTGTAAGAGACCAGCTCAGTTTTAGATTGGCGGACAAAGGCGAGAGACAGTAATATCGAGGAGGAATCTAATTTGCATGCAATACGATTTTTGATAAAAGTTTTTACCCCGACAGCGAATAAAACGCCAATGCAACAGCACACTTTGGCATCTGCAGATGTGTCCGTGCCCCGTTCACTCGACTATTCATAAGAATAACAGCCAGGGAGTCGTCGGATAAGAAAAGCCAGCGACAGATATAGATTGGGTTGGGGTGGTGGTAGTAGGTATTCTTTGGATTGGGGCTGGGGTCCTTCCAAGGAACCCGAAGGCAATCAAAAAGTGCATTTGCGTGTGCCGTTTGCTGTCGCCGCGAGCCTCGAGCTCGAACAGAATACGAATCCGCATCCGCATCCACATCCACATCCGAAACAGAGAGTCTCAAGCCCAATCCGAGGCAAGGAGGGGCTCGTCTCTGGGTCGCAGGTAACTAGTTGCGACTCCCGGAGAGTGCCATGAACTGCAAGTCACAATTTGACACATGATCCATGGCATTGTCGTGTCTGACACGCGTTTTATCTCCGCTCTGGGAATCTGTGGAGCCGTGAAGCTGCAGCGGGAGTTGAGGAGCTGAGCAGTTGCGGGGGCCGAAGGCACAAAGTTAGGGGCGTGGGCGTTGGCGTGCACATGATGTGCATGCATGCGTTTTCCTAAATGATTTCCAAAGAATTTTTATTGGGGGAAAAGGGCGAAAGCGAAAACACAGGCACTCGGAGAAAATAATAAGCGGTTTTTAAGAAGAAAGTTAATCATTTTATTTGCAAATATTAAATGCAATCTAAAAGTTTTTACTTTTATTCGTTGTTCATATTTTAAAGTTTAAAGTTTATCTATTTGTTTTTTAATATTAAACAAATTATTAAGCAAATATTATATTTTCAAAAGATCTTTATAGTTTGTTCTTATCTCAAAAATGATTTTCAGTCTAGAGGAATCCATTGGTATCTGTAAAAAATACTGTTATTTTCACAAGACTCTTCTCTTAATTTTAATTTGTATTATTATAAATCGAAATTATATATAATTTTTCCCTGTGCATCGAGCAGCATGCAACGACAAAGACAGGAATCAATGGAACGGGTAGCGTAGGAAACTTTATTGGCGTCTTCAAATTGTCAACTCAAAGTTCCAAAGTGTTTTATTTTATGCTTTGTTTCTCATATTTTCCAATGCCTTTTGTTGCCCAGCCAGGCCAGTGCCAGCGTTGTTTTATCGCACATCTGTAAAAGGGCTACACGCCGGCTCTCGGTTTCAGTTCCAGATTCGGATACGGCATACACTTGCATATATATATGATGGGGTTTATATCGGCGGGGGTGAGTGTGCGCCAATGGTTATAGGGCCATTGGGTCCCGGAGATGGAGCTGTAGCTGCTAGCTGTAGATGGAGTTCAAGTTGAAGTCTATGACGAGGGCTTTTTATTATGCGCATTTCGGTTTTTATGCCTCGGTTCCGGCATGTTTTCGTACACATATCTAAATATCGTACTTAAACGCTTACACATGTGAACGACGCGACGGCAAATTGAAATGGGAAACCGCTCGGCATTTAGTTAGCGGAGTCGGAGTGTCAATATTTTCTTTCGGGAAAGGGTTTTTAATGATGTGGCTGACTTTATGGCCCATCAAATGGCTCTGTCAACACTTTGCCCTCTGCTGTGCAATGCCTTCGATAATGTCTCGATGTCCATTAAATCAATCATTATTTGTCTTACACCATGCACATGTCCACAAAAGGAGGGGTGGATTAATATCGATATTAAAAATATTCAATGGCTTTTTTCTTTATTAAGTACACGAAGTAAAGATTTGCTAAGCGTCGTTAGCATTTTTGGTGAGTTGGAAACTTAAGAATTAGAATGCCCTGTAAGGGTATACAAAACAAAATTTTCTAACCTTTTTCGAAAACTAAAAAATATAGTAGTTGGAAATTATTTATTATGGATATTTGTAGCACAAACGACAACTAGATTGTATCTTCCTAAACTATCTTTATTAGTATTTTTAAAAAGAAAAAAAATAAAATTTTAAATGTATAAGAAATTGTAAATACATATTTCTTTTTTATTATTTTCGGTAAGACTCTTTTCTTCCATGAAAATATTTTGACTTTGAGCTACCAATAATAAATTATGGCTAAAAAATCCTTGCTTCAAATTGTATTCTAGTTTCTGCTAATATTGCCAATGCCACAAATTTTTTCTCCCCAAATCTCTTCTGAGACTTGACTGAAAATATATTGTGACTTTGGCCCCAAACTAAAATTAGCCATAAAACCTTGACAAAAATCCATAAAAGCAATTGGACTTTTGCTCTGCTTTTTGTTTGAAAGGAGAACAAAACACAAACAACCACAAAAAAAAAAAAGGACAAGAGCATCGGGAATATTTAAAATGCAAATGAAATAAAAACTTTTCTTTATGGCCGCAATTATAATTCGATAAAACCGCAATCTCCTTGAAACGCACGCGATGGGGCAAAAAGGAGGCGGCAGGATGAGCGGCAGCCAAATTGGCATGACATTCGGAGGAGGCAGCCGAAAACCGAAAACTTTAACCTGGCCAAATGATACTTTCGATGCGAGTTGCGTGCACCGCCTGCGATTGTGTTGGCCAAGTGGCTCCTCGGATGCTGCTCGGATATCAGCTACAAAAACTGCCGCCAAGTTCATAACGAGCAATACTTTTTTATTGGCTTTCTGCCGGGGCCAAGAGCCCCTAAGGCAACTAAAAAAAATTTACATTTTTATTAAAATCTCCTCTTTTGGCTGGCAAACACTATGCCGGCACACACGAGCGCACATGTGAGTGTCTGAAATTGAATTCGACTGTGATTTTGGCCAGAATGGCAGCCGAGAGAGGGCAGAACAGGGCAGGGCAGGCCAGAGCACGGCAGTCAGGGCAATCTAAGCCGTGCCAAGACAGCAAGTGAAGGCATAAATTGGTATTTATTGAACAATGGCAAGGGCGCCCCGAGGATACCTAATTAGGAGGGCGGGGTGAAAGGCCCTCAGGTAAGCAGCTTACAGAAACCTGGGCCAGCGCCCCATCAATCACGCCCGAATATGGCTATTTGACAGCTAAATATTGGAGGTGACTCTGGGGTTTTCCTCCTCCGGAATTCATTTTCAGCTTTGCAATATATCTACACGAATATGTATAATAAATTTCCATTTGCATTTGCCTCTATAGCTGCCTAACGCCAACGTTAACGTTAACGTTTAACCCCATGCCACCCGGCAGGCACGCGGCATAAGTATAAGTTCAAACTGGTACATGCCGCCTCGAACATGTGTTTATGGATGCTGCGCTATGGATGCCCCGCTTTGTTTACATATTATGTACATATTTTTGGCCTCTTGTTTTGCACGCCGTCGATAAGAGTGGCGCAGCCCCCCATTTATTCCGCTCGCTTATCAAAAGTTGCCCAAGCCCAAGCTGTTTACTTGAGCAACAATCTGGTGCCTCGGTCCCGGTCTCCACTGCTCCACTGCTCCACTGCTCCACGCTCCCAAGACTCAGTCTGGCATCCTCCACTCTCCATCTCGGAGTGAGTTTTCGGCGCTTAAAGCTCTTAAGACTTTAACGCGACTTTAATATATACATAGCCGTGCATCATCATCCTGTCGCTCCCGCTTCCCGCTCCCGAACTCGTTCCCGGGAAAAGTCTGTGGCGTAACAACTGTTTCCGAAATTGTAAATTCACAATGCGGCGCACATCCCGATTGATTCCGTTCGGTTTCGTCATCCTGATGCTGCTGCCATCGACATTCGGCCACACAAGTAAGCCGTCCCGAGATCGCTGGCACGCCATTGATTATGCATATATATCCACACAGTGAAAAACATAACAAAAGTCCTGGTGGTTGTAGTTATCACTAAGCTTGGGTTTCATTAAAACTAAAATTTGTCATAGAAATTGAACAGTAATTAACTGTAATTTTCAATTCCTCGAATATGTTATTTTGAGTGAAATAAGAATAAAAATTTGTTAAGTTAAATAAAGCTAGGTATTTAGGTGATTACCTAGTTCATTTTTAAATACAAAAATATGGAAACATCTTTTTTTTTAATTTAAATTCAATTTAATTCCTAACTTCTTTATAATTTCTCCCAAAATATATTCTCTTTGCGAGGCTAAAAATGCACAAGACATTTAAGAAGAGAGTAACTTAAAGGTTCTAGTTTATTCCGGACTGGACTTTTCTCTCACATTTCTATTCGAATATGATATTATTATAAATGCCAGAAGTAAAGTGGTTATTTCTGAAAATAACTACTACTTTACAATTACAGTAAAAGATTGAATTTCTTTTTTCCCAAAGTTTATACGTCAACATACAATTTAGCTTGTCAATCTTAGATTTTCCACCTCTAACATAATTTTCCATTTTTTGTAATATTTTCTCCATGTGCCGTCTGAAGTGGGGCCCAGCTGCCAGACGCCGGAGAAGACCGACGGCCTATGCGTGCACTTCAGCGCCTGCCGGCTCGTCCTGCGGCACTACGCGATGTACAAGGAGCACATGCCGCCGTCGATAATGCGATTCCTGCAGAGGGCCCGTTGCAGGCCCAAGACCGAGGGCGTAAGTTGTGTGTGTGTGTGTGTGAGCCCGGCTAATAAAAGTGTCTGGCTGGAACAATAACCTTCGAATGGCCCTGATTCTAATGAAATTCTTCCCTCTTTTTTTTTATAATGCGGAATTGGCAATGCGGCGAATGCGACTGCGTATTTCTCCCCTGGCAACGAACAACAAAACAACATCAACATCACCATCACCATTCGCGTTGCCATCAACAAAGTATTATTTGTGCTGCGAACTCAAAGATGTGATTCCCGCGAACGCCAACTCAAAGTTGAAGTAAATCAACTTCAAAGTACGTCATGTGCTGCGTGTGGGCTTTGATCTGTGGAATCAGTTGGTAGCTTTGTTTGGGCCATAACCGAAATGTTATGGCCGGGCCACATCGCATCGCCTGTAATTATAATGTGTACACGAATTACTCGCATGTATTATGTATTAAGTGCGCCTCCTCCCCCTGTCTCGCCAGGCAACAGCTGCTGCTGGGACATAATAAAAACAAGAAAGGAAGCTAACTTCGGCACGCCGAAGTTTGTATACCCTTGCAGATATTATTTCATTGCATTTTACCTATACTTATTATGTTGAGAGTTTGACAGTTACAGTTTTACATTCCCAGTTTTACATTTTCCCTACACCTACCGATCGGTTTATATGGCAGCTATATGATATAGTTGTCCGATTTTCATAAAATTTATACCAAAATTCTGAACTAATAAAATAAGCTTATATCCCAGAGTAGAAAAAAATAGTTTGAAAAACAACGAAGTTATAATTTTTTTTCTATTAATTTCCTGATCGTTCCTATGGCAGCTATATGATATAGTAGTCCGATTTTCATAAAATTTTTACCAAAATTCAGAAATAATATAAAATGGTCATATGTCAAAAATAGTGCACATATGTTGAAAAACAGCCAAGTTATAATTTTTTTCCTAAAAATTTATCGAACATTTGTATGGCAGCTATATGATATAGTCGTCCGATCCGGCCCGTTCCGACATATATAGCAGTGAGAGCATATAGAAGACTATATGCAAAGTTTCATTCAGATAGCTTTAAAACTGAGGGACTAGTTTGCGTAGAAACAGACAGACGGACAGACAGACGGACAGACGGACAGACGGACAGACGGACAGACGGACATGGCTAGATCGACTCGGCTGTTGATGCTGATCAAGAATATATATACTTTATAGGGTCGGAAACGTCTCCTTCACTGCGTTGCAAACTTCTGACTGAAATTATAATACCCTGCAAGGGTATAATAAAAAGTTTAGCTCTAATCTTGGCGGCTTCTTGCCGACAGTGTGTATGTGTGTGTGTTTTGATTACGCTTCAGATTTGCATGGGAATTCCACATGAATTCCTTGGGGAGGACCTACACTGGCCTTGTAAAAAATCAATGCTAAATATTCACTCATTCGGGATGAAAACATTTTTAATAAGCCTGAAATTTTAATTTAAAATCATCAACTTTTGTGAGCTTCCCAATTCATGTAAGTCTAGTTTAAGCAGTTTAAGATTTCGTTTCAACAAAAAATAAGTAAAGTAAATATATGAAAAGTATTCATGTTACTTTCTGCATTTATTTCAGCTCTAAGGAAATTCATCAAGAGATGGAAAAGCAAAGCTCAGATCCAAGGAATGTTTTCATATCCAATTCTGTTGGAGTATAATGGAGAGCTTAATACACTCTGGCTTTCTTTATTTAACTTACCTTATTTTTAAATAAATATATATATTCGTGCAAGCCAATATTCCTTTCAAGGGGCCCAAAGGCCACTGAATCAGTATATCAAACATTGCTATGTTGTCAAAGGGCTTCTCGTAGACACCTAAAACTCTTCATTTTGCCTTGCACTTTCTTACCTTATTCATTATACCCTTGCAGGGTATTATAATTTCAGTCAGAAGTTTGCAACGCAGTGAAGGAGACGTTTCCGACCCTATAAAGTATATATATTCTTGATCAGCATCAACAGCCGAGTCGATCTAGCCATGTCCGTCTGTCCGTCTGTCTGTCTGTCTGTCTGTCCGTCTGTCCGTCTGTCTGTCTGTCCGTCTGTCCGTCTGTCTGTTTCTACGCAAACTAGTCCCTCAGTTTTAAAGCTATCTGAATGAAACTTTGCATATAGTCTTCTATATACTCTCACTGCTATATATGTCGGAACGGGCCGGATCGGACGACTATATCATATAGCTGCCATACAAATGTTCGATAAATTTTTAGAAAAAAAATTATAACTTTGCTGTTTTTCAATATTTTTGCACAATTTTTTAGATATAGCCATTCTATATTATTATTATTATTATGGTAAAAATTTTGGTAAAAATTTTATGAAAATCGGACGAATATATGATATAGCTGCCATAGGAACGATCGAGAAATAAATAGGACAAAAATTATAGCTTCGTTGTTTTCCAACGTATGTTTATCTACTCTGAGATATAAGCTTTTTTTATTATTCTAGAATTATGGTATAAATTTCATAAAAATCGGACAACTATATCATATAGCTGCCATAGAAGCGATCGGTAGATGTAGAGAAAATGTAAGGCTGGGAGTGTAAAACTGTAACCGTCAAACTGTAAACATAATAAGTCTAGGTAAAATGTAATAAAACTCTGTTTTGTGTGTGTTTTCAGCATTTAAGTCTATAATACAAACATCAAAAACAATCTGCAAGGGTATAAAAACTTCGGCGTGCCGAAGTTAGCTTCCTTTCTTGTTTTAATATATATTTACCTGAAAGAGAGTTGGACTTTATGTTTTGGCAGACGGACCTTTGTTTGCTCAATGTTTAAATTTTGCGCAAACATTTCGCCTCTGTTATCCGACAAGGGTTTCCATTACACAAAGGAGGCAGCAGCCCTGTGAGTTCATTCCCTGTTATTTAATTTTGATTTATGCTCGTATCTGGTGTTGAGGCAGCGCCAGCATTCGTCTTTCCCTTCCTTTCCTCCCGTTTTGTGTGCTTTAATGTGCCAGATTTTAAGTGACATTCGGGCGACGCTAAAAGGCCGTCTAAAAATCACGCAACATTAAGATGATTTATGCGGAATAATTTCAGTGTAAATGAGGCAGACTCCGGTCCGGTTAGTGGTTGCCCAGCTCTTTGCCAAGGAGCTGTAAGTCAGTGCTGGCAACATGGAAAAGAGAACAGGTTGAAAAGAACTAAGGCAGGTAAGTATATATTTTAGAAGAAATAAGGAACTAAACAATATCTTATTAAATACAAATTTTTCCCCTTACTGTAAAGTAATATCTAACTTATCAAATAGGGTTTCATATTTTAGTAAAAAAGTATACATTTTTAGCATATTTTCCATCTTATTTTGTGTAAAAAGAACCATGTGGGCAACACTGCTGGCAGAGAGACTGAGACTGGATTGGGGCTTGCACAGGAGTGGGTCTATATGGAAGTGGGTCTGGAGCTTTAGCTGGGGCGTTGAAAAGCAGACACCTTGTGCGCGCACGTTGCTCGAATTTCAAGCCGAGTCTCGAGGCTGCAGCTTAGCTGATGTTGCTGTATGTTGCTGCCGCTGCCGCTGTTGCTGTTGCTGTTGCTGCAACTTGAACGCGCCGCCCAGTCGCTGAAATTGCAGACAGCGGGCAGCAGATGATAAATGGCCTGAAAACACATTTGAGCTGCAGCTCGCCTCTGCTGTTGCTGCTGCTTTTACTGATGCTGATGCCTCCACTGATGCTGATCTATTAGACAAACGCACGCCCAAGGCGTCTGCTCTGCACATACATACATAGTATCATCGCCCATCACCCGTCACCCGTCGCCCCCATTGGCTATTTATGGAAAGTTTACCCCGAGATAAAGTCAGAAAAACGGCAATTTTCCCTGATTATTTTTGTCGCTTTTAAACTAAAAATTTCTAGCTGTCAGAAATTAAATGGGAAGCAGCTTCTAAAGCTGCCCGGCTAATGCAGCTGCACTGTGCAACGGCTTTGGTCTCTTTGGGCTTGGCTATCTGTTTGCCAACGTTGCCCGTTGCTTGTGTTGTTGCTGCGGTGCAACAAATGTTGTTAACAAGCATATTTTGACAGCTCAACAAGATGTTGCCAGATGCGCGAACAGCATCAGCTACAGCACCAGCAGCAACAGCAACAGCAACGGCGGCAATGAGGCCATCTGCATATGTTGCCGGCGTTTTAGCTGCTATAAAAGGCGAAACAAAAGTAAGACAAACCATGGACTATATGGGTTTCTATATGGGGGTGACTATGGGAAAGTTGTGGCTTTCCATGTGCCTTCGTCGGCAATTGAAGTTAGTGAGGCGCAGAGTCCATTGCCTGCATATGTGAAGCCGATGTTGCTGCTGTCGTTAGTGTTGCAGTTGTTGCTGCTTCTGTTGCTGCTGCGGACTACTCCAGAGCATAAAATGTGGAGCATATTGTTCTTGCTGGCTCTCCTGATGCTGCTGCTGGGCCATAAAGAGTTGAGGCTTGTTTTTAAAAACTATTTTGTGTGCCATTTAATAAACATTGCAATGCATTTAATGAAATTCAAACACAGAGATAGAGAAAGTAATAGAAAAAGGCAAGAGCACAGGCCCTGCGGTGACCAGTGCTGACGACAAGCAATGTAAAAAACGAAATAAATGAAAATTTTGACTAAAGAAGAGTCAAAGTAAACTTGAAATCTAAGGATAATGTATTTGATTGTTTGTAAAATTAATTAAGATAAATTACTAAAAGAGAGGTTTATTTGAAAATGTATATTTTTCGTGTATTTTTGAATATTTTCATAGAATAATGAGTTGTTTTTAAAATAAAATACTGCATATGAATTTCAGTTTGTAAAATTTTTAAAAATCGTAAATTTTTGAAGGTAACACATATTTTTTTTTTTTAATCTAACATTTTCCTTAAAGATTCTAAAAGAAAAGATTGAAAAGAAAACCATTTTGTCTTGAAAAAGGATAAATAGGCTGCAATGGCTTTGCCTTTCTTGGCAGCTCCTGGCCACATCTATTTGCTAATTGCATTTCGTCGTTGTTGCTTCGGTGTTTGTTGTTCTGCGGCCGTATACCTTTCACGCGCACTGTTCCGGTTTTAGCCCCCTCTTTCCAGCCATACCATCCAGCCACCCAGGCCACCCCTTTCCATCCTGTCACCTTGGTTAAATATCGCTTTGTTGCAACTGTCGCAACTGACACATCCGAATGTCTTGTCCTTGCGCTCAGTGCTCAGTGCTCAGTCCTCATGTAACCATGTCCCCATGTCCTCAGTCCTCAGTGCTCAGTGCTCAGGCCCCGGCACTCATCGCACCGCATCGCATCGCATTGCATCGCCTGGCATCACATCACATCACCTGGATACATGGATGTGTTGTCGGAGTTGCAGTCACTTCACTTCGCGGCTTGTCTATCACCTGGCCAAGGAAAATGCAATTAACGAGCGC